TGATTTCCAAAGACATAAAATGATCGGTTTTGTCAATTTTGCCCAGTTTTATTGCTGATTTAGGCGATAAGATTTTTCTAGCCTCCTTACAGTGATTGCTTTCAGTTCCACTCCCGTGTATATTCAATGCTATCTCTTTCCTTCATTAATATGCAAGTGATCAGGACCCCTCATTCTTTAAGTGTTTTACAAGTGTATTTTAAAAATACACTGAACTGTTTTTCTTTTCAAAGTAAATTTGCTTAAATATGTAATATAATGGATAATATTTAAATTTAAGCCCTTCATAAGCATGTCATACTGAATTTACATGACAATATAACTATTAATTTAAAATAATGCAGCACATTTAAATGACAGCAATTACATATTTGTCATCTTTTTTTTTTTTTTTTTACTAATTTGTTTTCCATCCAGGAGCCAGTAACTTTATGTAAACAATGTTAAAATGTGACTGCTGGATTATCTTTTAGAGGACTTTCCCCTCAGATGTTTTAGGATATTTACTAAGAAGGATTATGCGTTTCTCCATCAACTGGTCAATTCATAGAGTGACAGAGAGTACAAATGTCTTGAATTCAACCTCGATTGGTATATTCTGTATATGCAAGTGTATGTGTGCATGTCTGTGTCTGTCTGTGTGCCTGTGTGTAACACAGCCCACTCGAATTAACAAGGTGCCATCTCATTCCTTCTGCACTGCTGTGGTGTCCGCTGAGACCATAGGCAAGCTTTCACTCTCATGGCCTTCCCACCACCCATCTGGTGGGTAACTTTGAAACTATGGGCAGAGGTTAGATTCCAACTTTGACCCCAAGCAATGAAGTGACAAATGATACGCTCCTTCCCCTAAGATCACAAGGCCACTGTGATGGATAATGTCCTGTGTCAAATCTGCAAAGCCATGGAGCCCATTTTTACTCAAACATCACTCTCTTGTAGAATTCTGCAGTGAATCCATCTGGGCCTGGGCTTTTCTTTGTAGGTAAGGACTTGATTTCATTTTCAATTTCATTAATAGAGATTGGGTTATTCAGCAGTTTTACATCCTCTTGATCTAGCTTTGGCACTTCATATGTTTCTAAGAATCTGTCTATTCTGTGTTATCAAACCTTTGAGAGTAGAGGTTTTCGAAATAGGTGTTGATGATCTTCTGTATTTCTAAAATCAATACTCAGAAATCAATAGCATTCCTATACACCAACAACAAAAACACAGAGAGGGAAATAAGAGAAACCACACTCTTCACACTAGCAAGCAAAAAAATGAAATATTTAGTAATTACTCTTACCAAAGAAGAGAAAGAGCTATACAGGGAAAATTATAATACACTGAAAAAAGAAATTGAAGATGATCTCAGAAAATGGAAACACATCCCTTGTTCCTGGATAGGAAGAACAAACATTGTGAAAATGGACATTCTCCCAAAACTGTTATACAGATTCAATGCAATCCCCCAAAAAATACCATCAACATACCTTATAAATCTAGAGAAATTACTCCTAAAATTCATCTGGAACCAGAAGAGACCTAGAATAGCAAAGGCAATTCTAAGTAGCAAAGGCAAGGCAGGAGGCATCACAATCCCTGACTTGAAGTTATACTACAAAGCAACAGTAGTAAAATCAACATGGTACTGGAATCAAAACAGAGCAGAAGATCAATGGAATTCATTAGAAGATACAAGAACAACTACAAACACACTCAACTACCTTATCTATGATAAAGGAGCCAAGCAGGTTCACTGGAAGAATGACAGTCTCTTTAATAAATGGTGTTGGAAAAACTGTCTCTCCATTTGCCAAAAACTAAAGCTAGACCCATGCCTATCACCATGTACTAAATTAAAATCTAAATGGGTCAAAGATCTGAATATTAAAACAGAAACATTAAATCTATTGGAAGACAAATTGTGTAGAAATTGTGTTGAAGACATAGGGGTAGATAGAAAATTCATGAACAGGACTCAAACCGCACAGGAAATACTTCCCAGAATCAATAACTGGGACCACTTCTTATTAAAAAGTTTCTGCATATAAAAAGAAATCTCCAGCATAATGAAAGGAAAACCCACAAACTGGGAAAAGATGTTAGTGAACTCCCCCTCAGAGAAGGGACTTTTGTCTAAAACATATAAAGAATTAAAAAAACTCAGAGCCCCAAAATTCAAAGATCCAATCCAAAAATGGGCATCTGAGATGAATACGCACTTCTCAGATGAAGAAATACAAATGGCAAATAAACACATGAAAAAATGTTCATCATCATTGGTCATTAGAGAAATGCAAATTAAAACCACACTGAGATTCCATCTCACTCCTGAAAGAATGGCCAAGATCAATAAAACCAACAACAACAAATGCTGGAGAGGCTGTGGGGAAAAAGGAACTCTCCTATACTGTTGGTGGGAGTGTAGACTGGTACAACCTTTGTGGAGGTCAGTCTGGTGATTTCTCAAAAAGCTGGGATTGGAAGTCCCATTTGTTCCAGCTATTCCACTTCTAGGCATATTCCCAGAAGAACTGAAAGCATCATACCACAGTGATATATGCGCACCTATGTTTATAGCAGCACAATTTGTAATTGCCAGATCTTGGAAACAACCCAAGTGTCCATCAACTGAGGAATGGATAAAAACGTGGTGGTATTTCTATACAATGGAGTATTACTCAGCTATAAAGAAGGATCACATTGAGTTAGTTATCAATAAATAGGTGCAGCTTGAGACCATACTCATAAGTGAAATAAATCAATCTCGCATGTGTGAATACCAAATAGTTTCCCTAATGTAAGTAATGATTCAAATATATAAAAGTATGTGGTAATCATGATTCCCCATTATATGGCCTTGAAGCCTTGTGAAGCTTTCACTTATTAATTGGAATGGCTTTATTCTGGGCTGCTTGATATGGAAATATTTGAAGCTATAGTATATAAAGTTATATTCAAATATTTCAAGGAAAAAGACGCTATGGTAACTACTATTAAGTCGGGTTATTTGGTGGTGAAGCACTATGTTGCTGAAACTGTCATGCTTTGACCTATATTGTTATGTTGTTATGTCCTCTTTTATCTCAATCCCTCCCTTATGCATTAAAAATATTTAGTTATTTTTTATGATTTTTTTAATTAAGGGGAAAATAAAAAAATTAGCAAGATATATTATAGTAATTTTTTGATTTCCTATTAACTTGATTTGAAGTCTTGTAATACTCCCACTATCTTCTTGTGACTGATTAGACTCTGTTCCGTGCTGTATGACAGTATCAAGTTTGAGGGTATAGGCAAGTTCTTTGAAGGCAATACGATTCACTATGATGCCCATTCTGGTTTGACTATTATCTCCTTTGGAAGTCCTGTAATGTTTACAAGGTTTAGGTTTTCCTGGTCTTGTTCTCTGCTGTTTTGTTCAACTTTATAATACCTAATGAGATAGACAATTCTTTTTAAGGAAGCAAGAGGCATTATGGTAACCATTGTTGATAACCTTGTACTCTTGTTTTTACATCATGCGCTATGTCTATCCTTGGTTTTGACTGACAGCTTTGTTTTGCCATATTTGACTTTATCTCTTCCAAAAAAAATGTAGTAAGAACTAAGGAGTAATAAAACCCAAAATGTGTAAATTTTGTTGTAAAAAAGAGAGGGACAAAAAAGTGTGTTAAAGGATACAACTGCAAGTGTGTTTAGGGGTGTTAAATTGATGACCATATTAATGTTTTTGGTTGGATCATTGAACACACCTGTTTGCAGTCTCACTGTTTGAATGTCCACTTTGTTTGCTTTGATACTGACTTGAGCAATTATCTCTAACATGATAATGTGTAATCTATTAACTGGTGATTTCTTACTGTTTTCTTGTTTTTGTTTTTTGTTTTGTTTTTTTTTTTTTTTTTTTTTTTTGTAGTTCTGTATTACTTGTACCCTTACACCGCTTTGTTTTTTCTCTTTTTCCTTTTAAATAAAATTAAAAAAAAAAAAAAAAAAAAAAAAAAAAAAGAGTCACTCCGAGACAGAGAGCCTGAGTCGCTAAAGAGGTCCCTATGGGCACTTGCCCTTTCTTAAACTGTCACCTTGGAGCACCTTCTGCTAGCTGTCCAGGCCCCTCACAGAGTTCCGTGAACTGCAAGGCTCTTCAGGCTTCCAGGGACTGGAAGATCCCATCTGGTCTCAGCGGTCCTCTTTCTTTGGAAGCCAATGAAGCAGGTGGCAGGGCCGTTGAATTGCCTTGTCCAGTCAGCCATTAAGATGTGCAGAGGGCAGCGCGGTGCGATCCTCAGCCATTGAAGACATAGAAGCCCCTCAAAGCCCAGGCCACCGACGCACCCCTCTCCATTAGGCCTGGAAGCCTAATCTGCATGGTTCTGCCCACAGACCCTCTCCCCCCCCCCCCCGCCCCACTTAGCAAGCGGTGTCAGGGTGAACTTTTGGATGAACACTTTTCATACTGCACCTTTACTTTCGCAACTCCCTTTTCGATGCCATAAGGGTGTTCGGAGGTCGAGCTTCAGCTGCTTCAGGACCGCAGAGCCCTTTGGCTGATCGCGGCGAATCACCAGTAAGTCCCACTTCCGAGAGGTCCGCCTCTTATTTTAGGATCCGAATTCCATTGGCCAATCAGACTGCGTACCGCACTCCGATTGGACGCAACAACTGCTCGTCAAGCATCCACCACCCCATAGAGTCTTACCCCATTCCAGCCTTTCTTGGAGATTAAAGAAGAATGAAGTTACCTCATCTCTGGGGCAGCATGCTTATTGGACCAGCATGTAATATCCTTTAGAGTTTAGGCTGAAAATGTCCTCAAGTGAGAAGAGAAAAAAGCTGGAGCTTTCGTGGACCCAGAGAGACGTCTCTAGTAGATGCCTAGGTAAGATTTGGACTGGACTGGAGGAAGGCGACAGTCTACCCGGATTGGGCCACAAGAAGGAATGCCCGCCCTTTCCGCGCCCGGATTGGCTGAGTGCGAGCCGCGCCTCCCTCACGCCCACAGCCAGGGTAAGAGAAATGCGCTGCTCTCGCCTGGCTTCCGACTTCCAGCAGGTTGCTCAGGAGAGTATAAAAGGGCGCGCTGGGTTCCAAACTTGATCCGAAGTTGATCCTGGAGAGGCGTGCTCCATCGCAACGGTGAGGGTCTGCAGGAGAGAAGTGTCGCGGGGAGCGACTGAAGCTCTGTGACCGCAAGTGTCATTTCTGAGCGGTGGTTTGCTAAAGTGTGGCCGAACCTCAGCGGCACCCTGAAGTGTGGTGCTGCCCTGGCTTCGGAGTCAGGATCATTGAGATACAGGGCTTAAAACAGGTGTTTATATGCCTTTGTTTCCCTCAGGCTACTAGAGCCTTTCTGCAGAAAGCCTTGGAGGGTGCAGGTGTTTGGACACAATTTTGAATGGCTCATCCCGTGGAAAGCTGTGGGGGAAACAAGCGCTGGGAATGTGTCCAGGGACCTGGCTCTGTAAAGGCTTCTGAGAAGTTTCTTTTGCTGCCTGTCACCCTCGATTCCCCTTCCCCCAGGGATGTGCAGATGAAGGCCAGCAGAGACGCTGCTGCCCCAGCCCCTGGGGACATGCAGGACAGGGAGGGCTCGCAGTTCCCTAGTGAGGAGACTGGAGATGGTGGAGTTCCGTATCACCAGATACCAGAGATGGGGACCTGGAGGAAATATATATGCTGCCTTCTCTAGGGTTTTGGAAGAAAAGCGCGCGTGGGGGAGGACATGCTGGGTTAAGGGAGAAGAGGATTAGTGAAAGATCTAGGAGTCTTTGGGGACTCCAGGAAGTAGCTTGAACCATAGCCAAGTCAGGAGGAGGTAATAGTAGACTCATTTGTGTAGTTTAAATCATTAAGAAATTAAAAGGAAGTCAGTAGGTATCCGCTGGTGTTCACCAAGTGCAGTTCTGTGGTCTTGGTAGATGCATGTTGTGTGGGATCAAACATCCCTATTTGTACCAGAAAATACCCATTTTAGCACTGAAAGGCCCTTATCCCAGGAACCTCCCAGTTCTGGGCAAACCAGAATGTATTTGGTGAGTTCAGGTGACTGACAACAAAAATGTGGTTGGTGTCAGAGAGGGCCACTGGGGGCCTAAGGTATTTAGGTTAATGAACATGAATAGGGTCAAAGGAGGAACTATTTAGAAGGTAAGTGAGGGCACTGGGGTATAGAATCCTTGCAATGAGAAAGGAAATCAGTGGGGAGTACTGAGCACTCTGTGTCTGCATTATTGAAGAATCAGTAGAGGATTTGAGGTTTGGTAAGGAACCAAATGTTAATGTGTATTAATGGTAGTCGGTGGGGGAAGAGGGCCAGTTCCCCCTCATTCTGGAGAATGAGGTGGTGCAGAGAGTGGCTGTGGGGGCCAGGGCAGGGACCCCAGTGAGGAGGATTGGCGCAGCCAGCAGAAGCATGTGTTTGTGCTGGGCGAGGCTGGCAAGCCCATCTACTCACAGTAGTGTAGCCTGGAGGCACTGTCAGCTACCATGGGCATGATGACAGCCCTAGTGTCCTTGGTGCAGAGCGCTGGGGATAACATCCGCACCATCTAAGCCAGTAACCAAGGGGGTGGGAAGCGGAATGGGAGCCATGGCTGGGAATGTGGCAGGCTGGCTGGCCATGGGAGGTGTGTCTGTCTGTCCTTCTGTCTGCCTGCCTGCCTTTCACACAAGGCACCAGCAGCCAGCCCGGGTGACCCGGGGTCTGACTCTGTGTCAGCACCGTCCTCTGCTTGGTCTGGGTTCTGCATGAGCAGCGTCTCTGAGTAACTGGCTGGGTGACCCTGTGCTGAGAGCTTGGCTGTGTGATTGTGGGCTGAGCTGGGTGCTAGCTCAGTGTCAGTCCTGCGCCACGTCACTGCCTTACTTCCTCTCCTTTCCTATCTGCTAGTCATGCTCCTTACCAGTGACGGGAGTAAAACAGTTGTTCTCACAGTTCAGACTCACTGTGGAGTTGTGGACTGGAGAGGAAGCTGCGCCTTTGTTCTCATCTGCCTCCTGAAAAAGCTGGCAGCCTGGGGCCGCTCCTTTAAGTGTGTTGTGTATAACTTCCCTGTGTCCTGCCATCAAAGTGAACGATTTGTCATTGTGTTCCCTTAAGATAAATACTGATGGGAACATTACATGAAAAGACATTTCGCTAAGATGTGATTAATTAAAGGAAATATTCAGGTATAAGTTATTTTGATAATTCTTTGAGATTTTATGGGATTACAATTCTGCCACATTAAAAAATCTCACTTAAGATAATTATATAATTTTAAAATCACACGGGATAATGTGCCCATGTCTGAATAATGATATATGTAAACCCATTGCAAAAACGCCTGAAAATCCCTGTTCAAAGGCTCAGCAGAGTTTGTAGCTGCTGTTTGTTACTTTCATGTCAAGCATGGAACAGTGCAAGAACACTGGCCAAAGCTGTTTGTGCTTCATGGTGGTAGAGAGGGTGTCAGGTTGCATCCAACACACTCTGTTGGCCTCCTTCATAGTGAATCAGCTCTCTCACCTGTGCCTTTCATATCCAAAATTGTACACTAAGTACCAGTTCTGTTTGTGGGTTGACTTTTACGTTAGAATCTGAGTTTTATAAAAACCAAAGATTGTTTTCACTTGTTCTGAGCAGCAGCTCTGGTATATTTAAAGGCGATGGATCCTTTATCTCTCCTGAGCCTGCAGAGGCAGGAAGTGCACCAAGTTCTTAGTGGTGATTTCAGCCAGAGGTAAGTAAAGGTCTAGGGGAAGAAGACATCTACTCATTCTCCCCAGGACAGCATCAGTAACTGTCTTCCATCTCCAGGATATTTTAAATAAAACCTGCTGGAAAGCCAAAAAGTTGCATTAAAACGTTTAATTAGATTTCTTAAGGACACTGTGATTTTTCAAATATCTTGTCAAATGGTACTTAAGAGGAGACAGGTTATGCTCCAAGCAGAAGATAAAAACAGGTCATTGTCAGGCAGGTGCCTGTAAATAACTTCTGTGTTAACTCGGTTTTCAAGATTATATTTCAGGGTGGTAGACCTGGCAAGCAAACAGATGCCTTTTATGGTTAACGTTTCCTTTATGCAGACAGTATTTGTTGTCTGATTTCCCAGTTTACTCTTCTACTCGCTCTTTTTGTTGAGTGATTTGAACAAGGATCAGACTCTCCTACGTGGCTCTAGCTCTGACTCCTCCTTTGATGAGCAGCGTGATTTTCTGCAGACCTCTTTTATGTTTATGGATTAAAGATACTGAAATCCTTTTTTAGTTTAAAAAAGCCTCTTTTCATAGGTATGACATTGTAAGTAATTTAACTTGTTTTCTGAGGTCCTATATTTTTTATTATGTATTCTTGCTCATGGGAGCCACAAGAAATTTCATAAACTATCCTTGTAATTGTTCCTACATTTACTGTCACATCTTCCCAGAAACAGTCCTTTCTCTGTAATGGAAAGGCACTCCATCAAATTCCAATTTCTTGGTACTCCATTTTTCTCCCAGACCTTTTGTTAAGAGGAGTCTTCATTTTACCAGCAAAAGTCATGCTCTTGGTTGGCACAGACATGATCAAGGCTTTTTTTTTTTCCATTGGGCAAGGCCACCCAAGAATCTAAGTCAGTTAAGGACTTTAATAAACACCCAAAATATAGTTACCTCACCAGGACTGCTGTGATGAAGAAGATATCTCTCTTCAATTCCATCCTCCATGTTTCTTTTTCTAGCCTTTACACTGCGTTGGTGTTCTAGGAAGTGGATAACAGGAAAGGTAGATGTTTTTTTCTTTAGTTTTTGTTTAGGTTAGTTTTGTTTTTTGCTCATTAGCATTAGAAGCACAATTATCCAGGCAGATAAAGGATGCTATGCGTTTCTAAGGCCCTGTGCAGGAGCACCTTGGAGTACAGCTATTTTGTTTGAAATCAGTTGTGGGCTGTTAAGTCCCTTGTAGTTTCCACTCCCAGTGCTAATTCTAGCCCATCACTGGTGCTGAAGCAGAGAGCTGTTGGTCCATCCCGCCAGGAGAGATGAATCTGGAAACTTCTGAGCTTCTGAGTTAGAGTTAACCAGCCTAGGAAAACCTCAGGGAAAAAATTTGAACTCTGTGAATGATCCACACAGGGGAAAGAGCTCTGTGAGAGGAGCTGAGGGTGATCTGAAGTTTGGATGATGATGTCCTTTCTGTTCCCAGGTTTGGTGCAGAGAAGACACTTCCTCTGGGGGTCTGGCTGCCCCGCTCTGTGGGCAAACTGCTACATGGTCTGCATAATCCAGATTTCAACCTCCTAAAGCTGGAAGTAACTGAGCAACATTGAGCAGATTTAAACTCCATCCTTAAAAAGATGTAACACCAACAAAAAGGCAACCAGCCCACCAGACAACAGAGAGGTTTCTATGAAAGTAAAGCTACTCAAGGAGACAGACAATGACATGGGTGAAGTGTGGAAAGAGATTTGACATAATTCTAGGAAAGCATTGAAAGACCTTGAGGAAGTAACAATTAGGATTTTTTTTCCTGAAACTAAAAAATTCAACTAGAATAACTAAATATCAGTATTCAGATTTTCACTTATTTAACAAAAAAAGACACAGCTAACTTGAGCACGTGGCATGCTGTGTCCCTCTAAATGCTGTACCCAGAGGTATCGCTGAGGAGGCTAAAGAGAAGAGCAAGCCAAGCAACGCTCAGTCACAGCGTTTGATTACAGTTTACAGAGTCAAAACTCACATGTGTCCATGCTAACGTGCATAGTAATTGAATGAATCATTGATCACTCCCAAGGGGCTGCTCTTTGTAGAGAAATATCAAATCAGTAAATGTGGAAAAAGAATGAGAGAAATTCAAAATTGCCATTAGTGATTCACCACTATAATAACAGTTGAAAGATTTGCCAAGGAAGACCCGAATAAGCAAGTGAAAATCTGAAAAGAAACAGGCTATAATGCAGGCTGAGAGTAACTTTACAAAGAAGAAATCTGACACTTCATTGACTAAGAGTTTAGGTCCATATTCACAAGGAATAGGACCTATTGACATAGGTGCTCAATAGTGATATCAGATACCGGGAAGGACATGACATCACTTCTGGGGAATTCTTGCCAAAAGCTACATAAGCTTGATTTATGTTAGGAATCTGAATTGTCAAGATCATGAAACTCAAGAAGAAACTAAGGGACTCTCAGTTATCGGAGGCTGTTAAAAAGTCTCAGGGACTAACTTCCATCAGGGACCCTGAATTCTATTCTATAAGAAAACCAGGCAATGGAGATGGGGGAAGTGAGAAATTTGCATATGATTTGTAGTTTCATAATTAATGTTAATTTCCATGCTTTTCATAATTGAAATATGGATCCCAGGTACAAGATAAATGCAAACTCAATCAGATTTATTATTTTTCTATAAATCTAAAATTATTTCAAGACAAACATTTTTCAAAAGCTACACATGTGGCAGTTTCATGTGGACCCATTGATTTTTTTGTGTCATTTGCGTACTAACCCATAGACACTACAGGGATATTTATATATATTTCTTTCCCAGTACACATTTGAATTTTCTCCCAAAAGCTGCTACTAGTGCATGAGTAGACACAGGTGCTCATGTAATTTGCAAGGCCTGTTGATAAAGCTCCATCTAATTACGAAAATTGCATTTACCATACATGTGTTTACACTCTGCACAATAAGTAAAATCACAATACAAAAGTCAATGATGAGTGCAGCACACAATTTAAAATGTTAATTGCCCCTTAGTGTCACTGTGGATAAAGTGGTGTTGCATGAAAGTGACATCTTAGCACTAAATATATATAACACAACTCATTTAAAACACATTTTTGGCACTCCAAAAATAAAATTTTGTAAATTTTGGGTACTGGGTAATTGGTTTTCATTAAGATTTCCTTAATTAGATATATGCTAGATAGGTTTATTAGTGATCACAAAGTGAATCTATAAAGCAACTTGTAAAACTGTAGAATTTGCCATGTAATGGGCTATTCCTGGTTATTACTATCAAGAGAAGCAGGGTATGTGATAGATAGGCCACATTTTGCTTAATGTTTGCTTTGAGGTATTTAATTGTTCTAAATAGGTAGTAAATGTCCATTTAAAAAGAAAAGCAATACTTAGCAAGCTGCATAAAAAGTTACTGCAGGGCTGTCTGTATTTCCACCAGTTTTCATCAAGTAAGTGAAAGCAGTCACCCTCAATCATCCCATCTGCCTGAGTCACTTTCAGGGGGAGCCAGGCTGACTCCCATGGAAACCACAGCAGGAGGGTGTTTCAGTCCTGAGACTGAAACCACTGGCAGCTTACAGACACACCTCTCTCTCTCTGTCTCCCCCTCCACCCCGCCTCTCTCCCTCTCTTTCTCTGGCTCTGCGTGCTACCCCAAAATCTAAATGGATTTCAAATCAATTTTCTAAACCAAACAAATACTTTAAAAATTGCTCTGTGATATACAAACTGTACTCATTAAGTCAAATACTGGTAACATTGTTTTTAATTGTGACTACTCTGGTGTAGATTTGGCATGAACTATAAAGAAATTTATATCACATAATTGTGCAACAACCAACTTGCAGTTCTACATGAATGCTTTGGTAACACACAACAGATAAAATTAAATGACTGACCATAGCTTCCCTCTTTTATAGAATGAAAAAAATTAGGGAGAAGGCAAACATGTTTCAGTGAGAGAAAATAAAAGAGACAAGAACTAGATGACCTGAGATTTGCAACAAGAAAAAGTTTCCCCAGCATACATTTGTATTTTGCTCCTTTTGCTTGCTTGTAAGAAGTAAAATGAGGGTGAATTTAAGTGTAGTATTACACAAGACACTCTATTTATAAAAAATCTTTGGGAATATGTTTATTGATGGTTGGTATGGAAGAGGAGTTAATTTGTTTAATAGTGGAAGTTGCATTTAAATAGTACAATGAATGTTTAAATTCTAGAGACAAAGATAATTATTCTTTATAGTAGTTTTCCCTTCTCCCGAGGTGCATCCCCAGAAATTGACCCTTCAATGATGCACGGAAAACAACCTGTTTCAGTTATTGTTTACTCAGTATTTATTGAATTAAGTATATTGAGTGTTACGCATCAGGCCCTGTGCTTGGTGATGAAACAATGTGAAACACAGCACTCTGCTGACCTCACAGGTGCAGACCCAGGAGAGGGCAGGCAGATGCTGGAAGAGGGGTGAGTTCTAATAATTTCCCTTAGAAATGGAGATGAGGAAAAGCTGTGCTGACAAAAGATGCTCAAAACAATGGAATGAGTCAACTCATGAATCTGAGGGGAAAGAATTTACAGTAGAGGAAGAGCAAATAAAAAATCTATGCAAATAAGAGCAGGAGGTGAATGGGAAGTAAACTGGACGGGACTGAAAGAATATTAGTGCAAAAAAAAAAAAAAAAAAATAGAGCTACTGGGGCCCTAGCTGAGACTGGGGCCAGGTCAAGATTATGTTTAAATCAATGACGCAATTTACCCAAAAGCAAAATTTTTGTTAGGGAAATGTGGTATCTATAATTAATTTGGCGGAATAGGTTACCTGTGTGAAACACATGCTCATGCTCATGTTGCAACCTTGTGTCTGTGCACTGAGATGCAGGAGAAATTGCTGAAGAGGGATAATGAGTGGGGATGACACACACAAAGGTTTGCAGAGAAGAGAACGGCTTGGAGGTTGGAAAGTTCACGGTCCTCATGCTATGCGGATTAGGACACTGCTTCGGTCGACTAAAAAACAACAATCCTGAATGTTTTGTTTGTTTTGTTTTGGTTTGGTTTGGTTTGGTTTGGTTTGGTTTGTTTTGAGGAAGAGAGAAAGAGCATAGATTTATGATACGTGTAACTATGGGGCAGATGGATCCTGAAGATGGATTAGACAGAGAACACAGTGGAGGAGGGACTCCTGGCTTGATTTCAATTTCTGACAACGTGAGCAGTGCTGCTACTCCAGGAAACAGGAAACACTGAAAGAGGCCAGTGCAGAGAGCTGCAGAAGATGCATTATGTGGATGAGGCTCAGAAGAGGGGGAATGAGGGTTGTCATTGAAATGAGCAGTAGGTCTCTGGAGAGTATCATAAGGGGTAGCCACAGCATTCCACGTGGTACTTCATAAGCACAGATCTTCTGTATTTTAGAAAATTCTCTGAAAAACATCTTTATTGTCCTAGCAATGAAAGAGCAGCTGTGAATCCTATGTCTAAGTAGAGATTTCCAAAAAATAATATGATTATCATTCACTCAAGGATAGAAAGAAATCATAAATTGGTAAGGACCTGTGGTCTTTACACTTCAGGGTTGGAATTGGGGTGGCAATCACATTGCCTTGATGGAAGGGGAGTGGTCAAAATCACGAGGCAGAAGACCCATTAGAATGCAAGACTGTTGATCTCTAGGAACTATTCTTGATACCTAATCAAATTCAGATTTTCTTCCACATTGTAGTTATTTTCTGTTATTTCTAAGACTTCCATAATTTTTCTCTTAAATGTTTTAGTCCCATTGTTGCTTTGTGATGGAAAAAAGGGAAAACTCGGAGCTTCTGCCAGAAGTTAATCATGCAAAAACAGGGATGATTTACTTAGCTTAAACTAGACACTAGTTTGGTCATTAAACAATTGTCTAATGTTGGCCACTTAGCTAAAATATTTTACAAGGACCAAAATGGGATGGTATAAAATGACACTTTTCCTTCAGGGACTCCTGAAGACAGACCCATTTAAAAGATCTACTTTCCTATAGTGTTGTGATAGGAGCTCACCTCTCACTTAGATGATATCTAGAAGCTTTATGCATTAGATTGAGGTCTGCCTGGATTTTGCTTATGACTGAACTGCCTGGAAGTCACTGGGAGACTGTAAACCCCTTTCTAAAATCATTATACCCAAGGAAACCTACTTCTTCAGTGGAAAACAATTTACATGGCAAAAAATAGTGAGGTGCATAATACGATTTATTTTGGTAACTGAGTATATGAATGTATGATATTAATGATACCATACAGTATGTATATAATATCACACAGTATGTATGATTGTACAGCATGTATGATATGATATCTCAGAAAACATTTGCCTTCAAATTATGGATTATAAGACAAAGACTAACTCTTGAGTTTCTATTATGTTTTATAGCATAGTGTCTGTGCTTAAGCTTCAGTTTCACAATAGAAGCCAATAGAGAAGTAGGAATTGTTCCAAAGAAGTTTTTGAAGCATTTAAGCACCGTATCAATTGCATACATCATGAAATTTCAACTGTGATAAAGCCAGTGTGCAATAAATTTCTACTAAGAAAGACATCAAAAAAGAGAGATTTTCTTTCTCTTATACAAATCAAAGTTAGAATGTATGTACAGTAGAAAATGTGACATCATTCAAAGGCTATCATCACATTTCCTTTACCCACTCACCTGCAGAGGGGGACACTTAGGCTGAGTCCTTATCTTGGCTGTTGGGAATAACGCTGCCCGGAGCACAGGAGCGCAGATCTCATCTTACTGGTTTCATTGCCTTTGGCTCTACACCCAAGTTGCTAGGTTGTACAGTAGCTCTGCTAATGTTTTGAGCAACCACTAAACTTCTTGCACGATGGTTGTACTAACTGACATCCTACCAACAGTGTGCCAGGGTTCATGGACAAATCTGGAGGACATTATGTTACGTGAAAGAATTCAGACGCAGACAGACAAACGCAGTACTGCATGATATCACAAATGTGTGGAATCTAACTAAGCTGGCCTCGTAGAAACAGAGTAGGATGATGGCGACTCCAAGGATAGGGTGGCTGAGAGGAAGGGGAAGGAAATGTTGGTCGTAGCACATAAAATTTCAGTTAGATACAGGGAATCGATTGCAGAGATCTTTTGTACCACAAAGTGACTACAGTTAACAATATGCCAAATTCTTGAAAAATACCAACCGAGTGGATTTTAAAATTTTATCACCATAAAAATGAGAACTAGGTCAGATGATGTGTATGTTAGTCCTGTTTACTCATTGTACTATATGTAATGCATGTATATATTAAAAACATTATGAATGTTGTACATAATAAATTTGTCAGTTTAAATGACTAAATAAAACTATCAGCCTTCTCACCAATAGTTTGCAGTGTAAGAATTTACCTAATTTTCAATTAATTTGATCAGTGTCTTCTTCTCTGAGATTTTTATAAAATAAAATGTGGTTGTTGTCATGTCGTTATATCTGGTTTATTTTCTTTCAAATAGCTACAATCTCATTTGAAGAGATAGTGCTTTCCAATCATTTATCAAGTGCTATAAATTTCTACTCAGAAAAGTTGGCCAAATCCATTCAGCAAATGAAAAAAAAATTCAGTCTTTCTCAATCCTCACTGTCATTTGTAACTATCTTCTTTTAATATGTATTTTGAAGAAAAGGTCATTTCACTGTTCAATTAAAAAATTAATTTTGTTCCTGTTGAAAATGTAAAGAAATACGAATCATTTATAACACTTTATTTTGAAAGAAAACATGAATTCCTCCAACAGAAACATAATTTACCAGAAAGTTGATCACATGCACAGCTTAGAAATATACATGTTGGTTTAACAGGCATAAAGTAATGTCTAGTTTCAACACCCGAAATAGGGGAATCATTTCATTAAGAGTGAACACAAGTTAGTCTGGCATGATACAAAGAATTATGATACGAATTAGATTTGCTAGTTCCTGGCTTGATAAAATAGAAATGCATAATTCAATGGCTTTTCAAAAAATAATTGTTGGAGCTCCTAATTTTCAGAGAGAGGTAATAGGAAAGCACAGAGCAAGTCAAGTATGAGACTTTCCAGTCTTTTCTCAGGGGAAAGAAGGAGGAGCAGGCAGGAAGCCAGAGCCACGGCAGGAGCCCAGATCCGTTCTGGCAGATTCACTGACTATCTGAGGGTGAATGATGTAAAGAAATGGGCTGCACATTATACTCCTGACTCAGGAAATCCAGTAACAGGCAGTGACTTCATCAGGATTTCACACACAGAAAAGAAACACCAGAGCACCGATCTCCTTCTGGAAAGATCAAACAGAAAGGAGCTGGAGTACATCAGGCCAGCTAGATGAAGCAAGTGACAGAAAATGGGGATAAAACACCCAGAGCTGTGTCCTCCAAAGCTGGCTACTTCCTGGTCCCTGACACCTGTGGATCTGTTGCCTTAGAGAGTGGCAAAGGGAATCTAGGTGGAGATGAAATGAAAACACACCAGTTAGTTGGCGTTGAAACAGGGAGGTTACCCTTGATTACTGGATTGCCTTGATTAGAGGCCCCGTGTAATCTCTAAGGTCCTTAAAAGGGAAAGGGAGGCCATAGAGGTCAGACTGGCACAGCGTGAGGACTTGGCTCACTTTTCCTGACTTTGAAATTCAAGGAAGGGGACCAGGAACCGAGGAATATGGAAAATGAATGGACGCTGAAAAGGCAACAAACTGATTCTTTCTTTGAGTTTCCAGAAAGGAACACAAGCCTGCTGACCCCTTGATCTTAGCCCAGTGAGACACACTTTGGAATTCTAAAGTACAGGAGTGAAAGGTGGTGGATTTGTAGTGCTAAACCAGTATGTTGTCATAATTTGTTACAGAAAAAATAGAAAAATAATAAAGGGGGAATTAAGTAAGGGTCCATAAGCAGAATTATAAGAACCTTCTTGCTCTCTTAGAGTTTGAGAGTTTGAAACTCTTCCTAAGGAGGTCAGTTTCAGAAAGCCCCATCTAATATACAACTTCTAATCAAGTGTTTCATCACTTCATATCCAGATGACAGCCAAAGATAATCTGGCATTTGAGGAGTCTTTGCCATGAAAGACATGTAAAACAAAACAAAAGTAAATACCTGCCCTTAAAAAAGAAAATTCAGGGGAAAGAGGCTACATAGTGAGAAAAATAGATTTTCAAAAAGCTATACATGATATAATAACAGATGATATCAATTTGTATATAGGTGAAATAAATCAAGACACTGAAAACTACATTTACACAAATTTTATAAATACAAAATCTGAAATTAAAATGTTGCAAGCATTATGAGAATAAAGTTGAGAAAAATTTTTCAAGCTGTAGCCCAAAATGGAAAATAGACAAACCCAGAAAGAAATTTAAACTCTGGAGATTAAAAAAAAAAAAGTTCTATGAAGAAAGAAGAAATAAAATGGTACATAATAAAAATTAACTTTGCCCAAAAGAAAATCCGACCTTTGCGTTTGGCACCTGAAAAGTAATCCCCGAGGTCTTCAATGTATGCCTTGCTTACATAAGTGATCTGTGATCTTCACAAGGGCATCACAGTCATGCAAGTCTAAGGAACTATTTTTAACCAAGGAAAACTACAAACATCTGACAACAGAACACAACATGAAATTCTGAACTAGATCATTTTTGCTGCAATAGACATTATTAGGACAATTGGTGAATCTATGTGGCCCGGGGATTAAACTGTAATAACATGTTATAGTTTCAAATTTTCTGGAGTATTTTTCTTTCTTTCTTTTTTTTTTTTTAAATCACAATTCATTGTTTCTGAACACAAGCCAGTTTTCAAACCTAGAATCTACTGACTGAAGCTTATGGCCTAAATTGTAGGAAGAAAGATGATGTACCAACATAGGAAGTAAATATATGACTGATTCTCTAGTGCTTGCCAAAGAGAATTAGAGCCACATAAGAACTGTACATTGTGTGGAGAAAGGGAAGGGTCCTGGACACTGGCTGAGCCAGTAAGAGCTCCCCCCCCCCCGCCCGCCAAAAAAAAAAAAAAAAGATTAAGAGTAAAGTTATATTGAAAGTAAGTGGGGTTCTGTCTCAGACTCAGCCAGTGGACACAGCTGTAGTCATTTCAAAAGTACAACTGAAATAGACACCCCCAGGGTTGCTCCTTCCCCACTCCCCCTGGTTAGCTAATACTGCGAGGTAAGAAGACCTGTCACACAAAGACAGCCCTAGAGGAATTCTCTAACAGTAATCCCACTGCTGCCCCATTGGCCAAAATAAAACATCTGTGCTAGGGAGAGAGAACACAGACTAGTGCTACCCTGAATGGGTGAAGCATGCAGCGGTCTCTATAGCATCTCCAGTTAATTCACTGATCAGGCTCCTGAAGGATCCAAACAATGCTGAGAAGGAAAGCGAACAGCACAGTGTCAAACAAACAGAAGTCCCAATCACAGCTGTTGTGCCAGACAGCACTTCTCAAGAGTGTATTTATGTGGTCTAGGGTCCCGAATGTGATATGTGGCTATTGATCTGAAAATCCATCCTTTCCCAAATCTAGCTCACTGGAAATCTGCTTTGAAGAAACCATTTATTTCATCCTCAGCAGAGAAATCCACTGCTTCCTAAAAAGGCTCCTGGCATGCTACTGGGCCCACCTAGAAGTGAAGACCCTTCCTATGGAACACTAAGTGTGGGCAGAGTCACCCGGAATGGGCAGGGTTCTGTGAAACCCAGCAAGGCATGGAGTTCACTGGGCCCAGCAGAAAGCAGCACAAAGTAGAAATGGTGCATGTGAGACCCAGCAGAACACAAGCTGCAAACAAAGCACAGGCTGCACCCTGGGGCTCTCCACCATTGTCCTACCAGGGCTTTTCCCTCAGCGCACACCCAGGGCTTCATGAAGGGTCCCTTATTACCAACTTCTGCAGCCGGAAAAGTTCTAAACTTGTGGATGTTTTCGGCTCAGAATGAGGGAACAAGCTGAAAATGGAAGATTGCACTAAACAGGGTGGCATCACAGTGTGGATGCCCAGCCCTCCAAACACACACACAATGAACATTCTTGGGTGGTTTCTCTGCTCATTCACTTTGTATGAGAAATGCTGCAAGATTATAATTTATATGACTCTTTGGGTCCATGAATTTTTGACTAGTTGTCAAAATGTAGAAGATTTGGAAGATCAAAGACAAGGAGATTTGAAGTAAGAGCTTGTGGTTGGATATGGAAGAAGACATGAAACAGAAAGAATTTTTTCCAGCCTCTGCTAACATGGAAAGATTCCTAGATAACCAAGCAGACAGAATGATGTGGGCAGCTGGTATCAACCATTCTCAGTTACTAGTCACCAAGTCACTAGTACAGTACAGAGTAGTGATGGAGGCAGGAGCAGAAGCTATGTGTGGTTTCAAGTAGCACAGGCTTCCCCTCAACGGGACCGATCTAGCTACTACCACTTCCAAATGGTCAGCAACAGAGGCCAGCATTCATTCTCCAAAATGGTTTCCTTTACAAGCAAATAAATTTTGTGGCAAGTTGACCATATGAGATGAGATCCCTTCTGCTCTGAAAGATAGAGATTGGTCTTGGTTCAAATCATCACTTCTTTCTGGAATGAGTTGTCTTTACTGCCTGCAATGCAAAAGCTGGCACTACCCAGGGAGGGTGAGCAGAGACACCCTGCTGGAACCAGCAAATCTCCTAGTAACGTGTCATCTCGTTCACTCTCTGTTGTAATGTGAACCCTGTGTAAGGCACTGATTCACAAGAGGTTCTATCTGGGGAACTTGTCTCCTATCAACAATAAGTGAAAGAGCTACTATTACACCGTAGGTCCAATCGGCATGTGTTTGGGACATAGATAATTATTTGGCCAATTTTAATAGTAAATAAAAAGTACACTAGTTCCAACCTGAGAAGCTTAGAGAAGATAAACAAAGATTCAAGCTCTTCATAGTGTGGTCAGCTGAGCTATGGGAACCCAGATTGGATGGTACTGGGGGGAGAGAATGAGCAGCAAAAACGCATCTGTGGGGCAGAATCTGTGGTTTCTTCCACCCTCCTCCTCATTTATGTCCCCAAGAAGTGGCTCTCTAGAGGCCCAGCGGATCTGCTCTCAAAACACACATGGAGCAGTTAGAACTGAGCAGACACAGGCACCTTCAGAGTCCCTGTTCTGTGCCAACCAGACCTGTTTCAGGACTTAACTATTTATCCTCTCTAGTTCTCAGGCAAGCGTGGTCTCAGTTTTCAGGAAGTGCAGGAGCTTGGACAGAGCCAGGTGTCTCAGTCCATCCTCTGTACCCAGGCAGCCACTGTCCACTGCTTGGTCTCTCAGGAATACAAACATTCAGCCCTTCACTTTGACTCAGAAGATCTCTAC